TGTTTGTGGTGTGTTGAGGAAGTGCTGTGGTTTGGGGATGGTTTTGAATAATGACCCATTTTCTTGTTTAGGGAAGTAACATGCTTTGTAGCTGGCATTGGGTCTCTGCTATTATTTTTTTCCACCTTCATCTTTTAACTTTGTGAATGCTTACTCCCATGTATTTTTTGTGAAGTGTAAGTAGACTTCATTTGTGTGTCCTCTTTTATTATTCACCACCTACTTTAAATATGACCATCAGTCCAAACATTACAAACAATGCTGAAAATGGGCAACATGTGTTGTGATAGTTGGTGAAATGGGGTTAACAGTGTTTTGAGTCTCAGGTGCAATAGTTCAAATATTTTTAGTGGGTGCTCGAAAACTCAGGCATAAGGAGACATCTCTAAGATTGATGCATAGCACAGTGAATAAATAAAGATCTGTAAATGGTTACATCTTCAATGCCAATGAGCCAAAGCACATAGGAAATGCTCTATAGCTGGCTTGGTTGTAAAGACACTGTCTGAGCTGCGCACCTAAAACTCTCAACCTTGCATAGTTTTGCTTAGGTACTGGAGGAGAGAATGTCACCAGTTGTCTTTTGGATAATCTATCATTAGTTGTGGATTAGCTTTTTTGTTTTTTGTAGGATCCACACAAAAATAAAATCAGCGCCCTAGATGGTGGTGATGTACTTCGCCAAGAGTGTGTTCTGCTTCTTGCCAAGTGCCACTAGCATCGTGCTTGTGTAAAACAAATTTACCTTATTAATTACTCATGCGTTGTGTTAACAATATCTTGAGACAAACTAGCTGACGTACATTTTGAGTTAAGAGAAGAACAATAGTAGTGTCCAAAGGTTGTTTTCCTTGGCCTTTGCTGAGATTGTATGACCTTATACTTACCTGCATCCTCTTTTCTTCTTTGAAGCATTTGGTAGGTATAGGCAAAATGTTTTAATTCCAAAAACCTTTATGTCTTAAGATGTTTTTGCTACTTAATAGTGACTTGGTGTTTGTGAAGTTTCTTTTATTGCATAAATACTGAAAGTAGAGGGGGACTACTGTTACTCCCTTTGTGTCTAGCAACTCTGTGTGCTTGTTTTGTTTCACTGTAAGTCCTAGCCTACCCAAGCAACAATCTTGTTAGTCATGCCTGATTGCTTTATCAAGGACAAGCTATCTTTACGTTTACTGCCCCACATGATTAAAAAACCCAGTATGCACTGAGCCAGTTCTTGAAATACCTTGCAGGATTTCCATGTACGTACCAAATGGAATGTTCCAAAAGCATCTGAATTGTGCATATTCTTCTTTAAAGAAGAGTTGAGAGAATGAGTTTAATGAGAAGTAGTCCATGAAAGAGGACTTAAGTGTAAGTCTAGTATGGACCAAGAAAAACAGTGCTAACCAATTACATATATTTTTATTTTGCTCATGCACCACCCAATTGATCTTAAGTGATAGGTAGTGGAGATCGAATTCCGGGGATCTGCTCTTTTCCCCTGTTAAGTCACAGTTTGAAATTTGAAGTCAGCACACAAAGTGAGTTTGTTGCTGTGATGTGGACTTTCACAAATGCTCTCATCTAGTTGCAGTTTTTCACAAGCCAAAGCTAAAATACAAATATTTGATGCAGTATGGCTGTACTCTTAGAAGGTCGGTAAAATCTGGTAAAGGATTTCATTGCCTTTCTGTCACAGAAGAAATTCTGTTCAAGCTCCTGACTTAAAAATTGTATTTCATCCTCCGTTTTCTTAAAAGGCCTTGTTTTGTAGCATGATTCAGTTTCATTTATATGATAACTTTTTTAAATTTAAAAAACAGCAGATCTCAAGGTACTAGCACTAAACTCTATTTTCTTTCAACTTAATTTTCGTTAAACTAAGCAAGATAAGGTCCTGTAATGTCTTATAAAACAGGTTCTTTGTTCTGTAGTCAAAATCCTTTTAAGCTCTTACTTCCATTTGGAATATAAATGACCAGAAAAAACGAGTTTTTTTTGCAGGTAAGAGCTCCTCAAGTCACGGATTCATATATCATTTGTAGTGAAACAGTTTTGTATACACCGATGCGTTAGAACACTGTTACATTTCATCCTTAGTAGTATGATTCAACTCTGTTCCCAGCACATTCTTAACAGACATGGCTTTTGCATGCCGTAGTTCTTGCATTCAAAATATTTCTGCTGAGGAATTGATGCATTGTGCAAAATATTAGTAGGATGAAAGGTAAATAACCAATTCTCTTTTTAATGTGAGATTTTACTTTCTATAAAACTATTGCAAGTAACGAGTAACATTTTAATTTCAATGATTAACTTTCTGCAGTGTCACTAAAAATGCAATTTAAGTTCTTTTTGGATCTCAACTTTCCTGAACTGCTGAAAGCTTAATTGAATTCATGACCTAGTTATGATGTGTTACTTACTGTGGGCAGATATTTTCCTGATGGGTACAGATTTGAGAAAAGAACTGCTTGTAGTTGGAGAAAAAGTCTTGTGCCCATTATAGGCCTTCTTTTTCTTTGAGGTGCTCAGCAGTCTGACTCATTTCTAGGTCCATAGATCACTCAGTCCACACTATTATACTGGTTAGATCTGAGTGATTGAAGCTCCTAACTCATGATCAGAATGATATCGATAAGTAGCATTTGTAGCTCATCAAGAAACAAGTACAAGTAGCGCATGTGAAACTGAAGCTTCAGTTTCCTAATCAACGTTTCTTTAATGATTTCTTGTCAAAGCTGGAATTTGCTAATGGTAACAATGTAGATACTGTCCTAGATTTGGCTTTAAAGAAAAACATAGCATATGTGTACTTTTTTTCTTCTGATTTAAGGAGAAAAAAAAAAAAAAGAACCAAAAAGCACTCATCACTTTAATTTTACCTCCTATGTAAATAATGATAGTATATATATGTTTCATATTTGTATTAACAGTGTAATATGATCTTCAGTTTACTTGGTCAGCTGTGCTGGTTTTTCACTGCTTTTTCTTTCTGTGGTTAAAAGCTGTTCTTCCAAGTGGGATCAACTTAATTCTGTTACAAGTTTAGCTGCCTATTTCTGTCTGTCCTTTATAGATAGACCAATGCATGGAAGCATAACACTTCAGTAAGAGGAGGTTTTGAACATTCCTAAATTAGGGCTACATCAGTGTCCATGGGACTGAAATAAATCTGCTCATCTTCTGCTGTGTATCTGCTGTATAATCTGTGTATTGAAATTTGACTGTTTTTGTTTCCATTTAACTCAATTGCTAACATCAATAATGAACAGCAATTGATTTTGAACTTTGATTCAGTTATGATTTCAGAAGATAAGGAATGAGTTACAAGAGATCAAGATTTGTGGGGACAATAACTGTATTACTGAAGAATTAGTGACATTGACATTTTAGTAAGTGGGCAAAGGCATGTTTTATAAGAAATACCTTATTGAAAAATAGCATAACAGTGAAAAACCAAAATATCAGGATGTTTGGACATGAGCCATTTGGTACTGTCTTTTAATTTTGTCTCACTACAATCTCAGTTTATGCTAATGTTCTCTCAGTTCTATTCCAATATTGGAAAGGGAAGGTTCATACAGTTTTCCAAGTTCAGCAAACTGAAAATTCAAGATTTCTCTGGTTTCAAACTGGTCTTGGAAGGTCAATTCAAGTCTGATGGTAAGTTCATTCTCTGGTGTATATTACTGGTGGGAATTGCTGGAAAATTAATACCTTCGATTTACTGGATAAAAGTTACACATGCTTGATTATTCTATTAAACATATCACATGCTATTTGGAAAGACCCAAATCCAGCTGACTTCAAAACCTTTATCTTCCCCCAGGAACAGAATTTTAATCATTTTATGTATTTTCTGATAAGTGCTAGATACTCTCCAAACAACTGTAATAGAATTTCACTACAGATTACCTCTTCATCATCCTCTTCAACCTGCCTTTCTCTCTGATCTGTACACCAGAATCCTTTTTTGTTTCTTCTGGGTGCTTTGTGTTTCCTAAGATGTGAAAGACAAAGCAAAGCAGTGCTGCTTCTCTCTGCGGCTCTACAGCAGATTCCTGTGGAAGTGCTGGATGCTATTTCAGGAATCTTTCTCTCTTCACATCTTGACCATTCAAGATGTGGAGTAAATGCACCACTGAAAATGAAGTTATTCCACTGAGGTGAGTGTAGCTATGCTGGAGCACAGCAGAGGTCTTCTGGGAATATATTTCTCTGTTCTGGGTGATGGAAACACTTGAAATCCACTAATAGTTAGAAAAATAGTTTTCTAACATGTTAAATCTCGATACTGCAAAGCTGTTGTCCATTACAGCAATGTCTTTAGACCTTGCTTATATGGCTGTAGCTGTGTTAATTCTTGGGAGGTTTATAGTATACCAAGTCATGGTAAAAAGGCAAGAGCTGGCAGAAGACCTTACCTACTTTGTGTTTTCTTCTATAACCTGAATGTAAACCTGTGTGATCAGTATTTAGAACATCTTTATTTGTAGTTGAAATTCATGAGCCTATTCATTGGAAAGATGGTAGTCTTCCTACAAAATGGCTTTGTGTATAAATTAGAGACTTTAAAGGTATATATAAATGGATTTCATAGCATATGCTTTGTAATATCCAAACAGAGGAAACGAAATGAAAAGATGTCTGTGCTGGCCAGTTTAGGGAACATGAACCGTCTTGGGCTGAGTAGGTGTTATTGGTGTGATCTTACTGAAAGTGCCCTTCTAATAAACCCTTCCTAATCAATCCTGTGGACAGGAAACGTTTATGTACAGGAATAGCTCTTGTCCCGGGTCCGTGTTACTTTGCTTTCTCGTGGGCGGTGGCCCGGGGGCTCCCGGTGTCGCTGCCCTCCCTGGCGGTGCTTCTCCCCTTGCGTGCGCCCCAGAAGCGGGGCGGGAGGTCCCGGCGGGGCGGGGCGGGAGGGCCCGGGCCTCACCTGGAGGCGGCATGGCCGCACCGGGCCGGGGCGGCGCCGGGGGCAGAGTCCAGCGCGAGGACCCGGCGGCCGGAGCCCGCTGCAGGCGCGGAAGATGCCCCTGGGTCTGGGGACCAGGAAGAAGGGCAAGTCCAAGGAGACCTCCAAGCTGGTGGACAGCGAGGCTGCGGCCCCACCGCCCGCGGCGGAGGCTCCGGCCCCGGCGGCGAGCGCCTCGCGGCTGCAGTTCCACACGCAGCTGGCGCACGGCAGCCCCACGGGCCGCGTGGAGGGCTTCAGCAGCGCCCGCGAGCTGTACGCTAAGATCGCTGAGGTGTTCGGCATCGCCCCTACTGAGGTAGGGCCCCGGCGGGAGGGCGGCTTTGCGTTCCGTTACGAGCGAAACTGCTGCTTCCGAGCGAGCGTTTACATGTGCGAAAGGGCGAAGTGTAACCGCGTTTAACTTGTACGCGAAGAAAAACCCGGTCCGTCTGCCGTCATGATGAACTTCCCGTCGGCCCGCTGTTAGCGGGGCTCCGCAGCGCTGGGTCACGCCGGGGTGCGGTGGATTAATTATTTCCAGTGAGGGGTTACTGCCTGCGGCCGTTCTTGCCGCAATCGAGGACAAACCAGCGGGCTGCTGGGGGTCCGTGCCTGCGGCGAAGGCAGCGGGGTGACGCGGAGTGCTGGGCTGGGAACCCACAGTCTCTGAGAGCAGCTGCAGCGAAGGCTGGGAAGTCTTTGCCGGATCGTTAAACAGCGTCCTTTTAATTGAGATTATTTAAACTCGTAATAAGAATTTATTTTATTTATTACTCTGAAGCCTTTTTAATTTTTATTTTATTTTTTAAGTTTTGTTTTTCATCCGAGCTAAGCTTTAAACATTTGTTTAGATTGCGAATCACTCGTTTGCGGCCGCATTGTTTTCCCGTAGCTGGAAGGCAGGGGCCGTATCAGGTTCTGCCGTGCCTACGTGGTTCTGTGAACCTTAACTTCTGAGTGGAAATCGAAAGAGAATGCTTAAGCGTCCAGAGGTCCCCATGTGTCAGTGCCGCTTCTCTTATGTGTGGCTGCCTCTTCTGAAGTGCCATAGACTCTGCTGCAAATTTTATTCTGGGGCCGGCTGCCCTGACCCAGCAGCATTTCACACAGTAAATTACAGAAGTGTCAGTACTGGTGAATACAGTTTAACCAGTCGCTGTTGCATTAAGTAATTAAGCAGTACCTTCCCAGCTGCTCTGACCTTCTGCTTCTCTATTTTCTTTCCATACTGAGCTTCTGTTCCCTTTTGTTCTCTGTTCAATCTCCAGTTGTATCTTTAACTCTCAAGTTCTCTAATTGTCAGATTGGCTTCTGTGTTAATTTTGTTCTTACTGAACTTTTGTTACCAATCTCATGGCTCTGCTGACTCAAAATAATAGCATTCACCAGGAAATTCAGTTCTGGAGGAACAGCGCTTTTCCCATTTCTCCTTCTAGGTGGATAATCTGGCACTTCTACAGGCTTTATTAAACTAAGTAGAGTCTTAAACTGGAAATTTCTTTTTTTTTTTTTTTTTTTTTTCCTTTGTTTTCACTGTCCTACTGCTATGGGTTTTTTTTGTTTGTTTTTTGTGTGTGTGGTTTTTCTTGTGTGTGTTTTTTTTAATGTGGTTTATTGGTAAAAACAGATGGGGAAATAGTGCTAAAAGCACTGAACTTAAAATCACAGAATCATTTGAGTTGGAAGAGACCTCCAAAGGCCATCTAGTCCAACTCCCCTGCAGTGAACAGGGACACCTACAACTTCAAGTGCTCAGGGCACTGTCTGTCCTGACCTTGAGTATCTCCAGGGATGGGGCACCTACTGCTTCTGGCAATCTGTTCCAATGCTTACATTTTTTTTTTTTTTTTAACTCAAGAAATTCAGCTGGCTTGAAGAAACAATGTTGAATGGAAAAAAAAATAGTAATAAAAATGACTTCCTGTTGTCAGAGCTGAGTGAAGAATCTGAACCTGATTAATGTGACAAAATTCTGATAGAAAGAAGTAGGATAAATTTGTGGCAAGTATTGCCGTAAAACGTAAGAGTTTGCTGACAGCTGCTAAACTTGCTTGGAAGTAAGGGGGTACCAGACATTTTAAATAGTCTTATCTACTGATTAATGCTGCTTTTGTATAGTCTCCTCTAAAGCATAATGCCTGAAGCAATACTTCCTTAAGCTGAAAGACTGAGGTACTCAAATGCCACTTACAGGTGTTATCTGTCTAGGAAAGTTTCTGTGACCCAGGTGCCCTGAAGCCCGACAGTGTGATACCTGAATGCCTTTGGAAACAGGCATATCACAGAGATCTCTGCCCGGCAGTCACCAAGGTGGAAAATAGACAGAGAAGGAGTGAGGGGAGGAGCTCAGTATAGAGAGCAGTTGGCGAACCACTGCTGCAATGTAGGCAAGGGAATGGATTCTTGGATAAGTTCCTACTTAAGCATTTCGGCACAGTGCAGGATGAGCTATATTTGTAAGCTGTCTCTTCTTTTGACTCAGCATGGCTGCAGCACCTCGTTTCCTCTTTGTATCATGTCGTTCAGTACAAGCTGCATTTAGTTCTGCTGGACAATCCTTTCCAGGCTCGGTGAGTGAAACCGATGTAAAATGCAGTTTTTGTTGGAAAGACTCTGAAGAATCAGTGCAGAGTGACAGAAACTTCTGTGCAGACCTTGATTGAAAGTAGAGTAGGATGAGTGTTGGACAACACCAGCCTAGATTTGAAGGAGCTGCTTGATCCTTCACAGCCCCAACGGTGCCTTCCTGAGGCTTTCCCAATACTCACCTCTTCTTGTCCAGTTATTTTATTTTTCATCCATCACCTGAAGATAACATCCCTGTTGTCCCTATTGAACCTGGCTTTTGGCCTGTATTCCTGCCCACCTTGCTCAGTTTTGCCATGCGTTTTTTTTTTTTTTGGTCCAAACCAGCTGGTTCTTTGCTCAGGGGAGGAGAAGTGCAGCCTGTATGACAAAGAAATGAGCACTGACTAAAGGACAACATGGATCTGTTAAAGCATTTGCTGGTGTGCTCCTGTGACAGTACATTGTAGGGCTTTGAATTATCCAAAATGGCTAACCAGGCACTTGAAAGTGAATGTTAAAATCTAACTGTAGCAAGACCACTACTTCTTCAGATGGAAGGGAATGGTAAATGATAGCTATACAAGCTTTCGGTTTGCATACTCATAGCTCACACTTCTGATTATTTTGTTTGCTTTGTAAGGTGAGGTGAACTGAATGCTTAGTGGGTGCGTCTAACAAATGCCTGTGAAGGCTGAGATATCTAATGTGATGAAAGGACTTCTACATTATAAGGGGAACAGAGGAACAGGGAAGCCTTCCCAGTAGCACCTAGAGTAGAAAAGCAGCTGCCTCTCTCTTCCAGCAATAGGAGCTCAGCTGCTGAGCTTGTGCCTAGGCTGCTGTTCTGTAGCATTGCCTCCTGATGCTAGACAGTTAAGTATACAGTAAGGCTCAGCCACATTAAACTTTCACAGATGTATTTGATTTAAACCTGTTCAATTTAAACTTTTATGAAATCGCTGAAAAATAGCCAAAACCGAACAATAGTGTTGAAGCAACTTCAGTAAGTGTCATTTTTTTTTTTCACAAGAGGAAAAAAATGCCAAAACATAGTTTAGAAGGCTGGACAATCAGTTTGTGAAATTTACTAAAATATCTGGAGTTTGAGTACTCACCTATCTGTTGAAATGAATTCTCTCAATCTCATCTGAAGATTGAAGCAAAGCAAATTCAAATGATCGAAGATGACACTGCCTCCAAACCACCTCCTTTCAACACGTTGGCAACAAGTGTTTATTGCTGTTCCCTGAGGTGCTTGTATTTGATACTGTGGTGCATCCAATGCTTGCTGTGTTGATCTGCTTCTCAGATGCTTTTTAGCCGTATTTTTGTAGCTAAAGGGAGAAACTTGCTCTATTTCTTGTACATTCTGGAGTTTCTTTTTTTTTCTTTTCTTTTTTTTTTTTAAACAACAAAACACTGAAGGCTTACTTTATAGTACTATGAATATATCTGGGGAGACAAAGTTGCCTGCCTGATAAAGTACCAAAACCACACTGAAACCAAGAGGATGTGGTTACTCTCCTTGTTGCTGCAACAAGTTGAGGCTCCTGCATTTTCCTCAGGGAGAATGAAGTGATTAAGGTAGGTAGAAAACATGATGGTGGCTTCTTGATATAGATGACGCCTACATATAGAGGGAAATATGTCAGTGGGTGTTATATTCTGCTCAAAAGTAGAAGTCCTCAGCTTCTTAAGTAACATAATTATGATGTCCTTTGTAAAGGTATATGAGCTCTACTGAGTCAAAAAGTGCTTTTAATAGCTTCTCATGTTACCACTCAACTTATTTTTGAAATCTTTTAAGGTTTAGGCTTAATGTGGAAGTAAAGAAGGTGATTAATAAAGCATATGCAATAAGGTACTGCATAGGTACTTTATATAACACATAGCGTAACCCTCTTCCTTGTCCTATGCAGTTTCTTGCTTTGTATAAGACTAAACCTCATTTTTGTTGACTGGTGTCTCTTACTACTGAAAATATGGATGCAGGAAATAATTTGTTAGTAATCTTATCTGATGAATCTATTTTACAAGGTCTCTGCCAGCCAAATGGAATTTCCTTCTTCTTCCTGCTGTGTGAGATAACTCAGTGAAGGAGGTACCCTAGATATTTCAGGACTGGTGCAGCAGCTACGATTTATAATACCTTGCCACAGTTGGCATGAAATGTCACAGCACTGTTATGCTGAGCTGAAGATCAAATGCACATGAAGGTTAAGGGTGAGAAGGGAAAGAAAGGACTTTACGATGAAAATTACTCATTGATTTTTCTCTTGTTTCTTTTCTGGGTAAGAAAATTACTATTTAAAATTATACAGAGTTTTGAGTGGGTGACAAAGTGCACTACAGTAGCTGTTGTTTTAATTAGATACATAAACTGTTATTAGATACCTATATTAACATAAAACGTAAGAAAAAAATACAAATTTTCCATTGGCAGTCCTCAGTCATGTACAAATAAAGCTATGCTGTAACTGATGGTGTAATTGTATATTATCCTGGGTGGATGCATCTTTAGTGCATTACTCTTTGAAGATATCTGTTCTGAGAAAAAGCAGTTGTTCACTAAAGAGGATAAAGGATGATTTAAGTGTTATTTTTGACCGGTTGATGTTCTCTCAGCCTTGTGGTTAGTATGGAACTGACTCACTGAGAATTCTGGAGACTTATAGGCTATAGTGGGGAATACCATCCAGATGAAGGTCTAAAAAGAGAAACTCTGGATCAAGTTTCTAAATATCACATTTCTGCTCTGTTGCCAGTTTTATCTATTCAAAGGTGTGACAGTGATTACTACATGATTGTCTATTTGACAAGGTCAGGTGAAGGATATTAATGTCTAAAGTGTAAAGCCATAGGGCTTGTTGTTCACTGTAAGAAATAGAACTGAGTTGCAGTTGTAAACTTGGCTGAGTTATGTAGTTTGCAAGAAAGCTGAGTGTATATGTGGATTTTATATAATCTGTTCAGATTGAAACTTTTTCGTTTTGAAAAAAAAGTCAACGATTAGCTGTGATTAGTACTAATAAAATAAAATATTCTGATTATAGCCATATGAATTTCTCTAGGTTATATTATTTTGTAAGTGCTTATTAACTTGAAAAAGTTTTGCATTACTTGAGAGAATAAAACTGATGTCTGTTAAGTGCTGTTGTGACTGTTGTTACTAAGGCATTGGGTTGGAGTGTTTGTTTGATGGATTATCAGATAAGTAATTAGTCTGTTTTAGTTGTTTTGTTTTTTTGAAAGAATAACTAAAGACTCCACCAATCTGTAATCTCCATCTCACTACTAAGCTTTCATTTTTCAAAAGTGGAAGGACAGAAGACATGTTTAATAGACCCCGCATTCTATATAAATGAGGAAAACAAAATGCTCTCTCTGAAATACATTAGGAAAAGCATTTGTTCTAGGAAAGAACTTAATAGTGTGATTGCTTTCATTTCATTTTTCTTTTTCTGCCATCATCCAGTGAACTAGAGTGAAGAAAAGTGCATTTGAAGCGTTCTGGGGCTGAAATCCACATTTTGTAGGTGTGATGGGGAAAGAAAGGAAGCCGACATTTCCATCAGAGCACCAGGGGTTCTGCAGGTGCTGATCTATACCTGTGACTAGGAGCAGTTAGACTCCACACATGGCTGCCACTAGAGCAGCAGCAGAGCTGTAGGACACTGTGACATCCCACTGCTGTTTTTGTCAGATGCATCCTGCTGGCAGCAATGCAGGCGTAACATGATGATGTCTCTTGCCAGTGGCTTGCACCTGTGACAGAGGCCAAATGCAGTATAAAGCTGCCTCCTCCTCTCCTGCTTTCAGTTCTACTTGAAATATGGTCTTGAGGGAATCATTTACCTCAGATGTAGATCTTAGGGAAGGAGTTTCTCTGGCCTGTGCCCTGTACTCTCTGGCACTGCCTAGGAGAAAGCTGTGTGGGCCGCCTTCAGGCCTTTTTCTTGTCTGACTTCAACTTGGCAAGCAGCTGGCAGATGAAATTGCCTTAGCTGTGAGGTGGAACAGTGGATTTGTTTCTTATTTTCTTGGCTAGACTATTTTCCCTTTGAACATGTGCTACATCAAAATGCCTAACACCTGCCTGGGCTGGCCTGATTCCTCCATATAGCACTGGTGGGCAGACCCCTTGACTGTCCACGAGCAATGCTGCAAGTTGGAGGTTGGTACATGACAAAGAACAAAATCGTGGCTGCTCTTGAGGTGGTATACTCAAGCCCCCCTTAAGCTGTTCAGCTGAAGCTTAAGCTGCTGGTGTCTGGGTTGGTGCCCTGTGGCAGACTGTGAGAGGCTGATTGCACAGATGTGTCCCTTTCCTTTGTTCCCTGCAATCTCATATCTGCTGTCTGAGCTATTGATGCTTCTTGTCATTTTTGTGGATGGCGAGTGTCGCTTTTCCTGGGGCAGCTGGAGAAAGTGAGTTTTTATCATGTCAGTTATGGATCTATCATCAGGGGCTGATATTGTGCTCTCCTTAAAAGAGCCCATCAGCCTGTCAAGTTCACCAAACCTAATAAACTGTTAAACTTCAAGGTAATGTGTTTCTTTCCTTCCTGCACAGATCATGTTTTGCACTTTGAACACTCATAAAGTTGATATGGACAAGCTATTAGGTGCACAGATTGGCCTTGAAGATTTTATATTTGCCCATGTAAAAGGACAACGAAAAGAAGTGGAAGTTCTTAAATCTGATGATTTGCTTGGACTTACTGTTACAGACAATGGAGCTGGCTGTCCCTTTATAAAGGTAAATTTATTTTCCAGTTAAACGCTTTTTTTTGTAGAAGTTTGTTACTATGGTATTTTAATTATTACTTTAATGGTCCTCTGGAACTATCAAGCCATTTAGCATATGGCAAGTACCAGAAAAAGTTGCTTTTCCTTAGATTTATCATTTGAAATTAGTTCAGCTATTTCTGTACTGCATGTCATTTTTAAATTAGATCGTTTGTTGCTTCTGTGACGTGTATGGGCTTTATGATATGATCGTTGTGTAACCAATCCCAAGATGGAAAGTTTTGCATACTGCTTACGTCCGCTTCCTCTTTTTTTTTTTTTTTTTTTTAGTGAGTTTTCTGACATCATTGGTTAGATCCTTACAGCGTATCTGTCACTCATTGTAACAAGACTGTATTCTTTCAGTCTTAAAGTGTTCGTGGGGTGAAATCCTGCATGCTCTGTAAGAACAGGTGCAAGTACAGAGCACTTTTGGCTTTCCAGTGCTGGCATTGCCTTAGGTAGGATGAATTAAAATGTGGCGAGGACATGGGTTAACAGAGTTCACCCCAATTAGCTTGCATAGAAAATACAGGTAGCAGCGCATGCAAAGTGTTAATTAATCATAATTACTCTCCTCCTCACCAGCTATAGGCCATTTGTTTTGAGACAAGTAAAGATGGAGGAAATCACAGCACCTTTCCTTCTAAACTAGGTATTAGGAAGTTGCCCCATTATTTCCAGCCTTTCTAGGTGCGCTGCTTTAGTCTACTCCAGTTAACTGTTACTAGTGAGACACCGGAAATTACGTTTGATTATTGGTGTCTCAAATGCTGATCTTATTGCTATTACTAACAGAGCTTCTTGTATGTAGAGATTGTATTCTCTATTCGTTTCTTAGCTACCAAGGATATAAAAAGTAGGCTTGCTTGTTGTTCAAAAAAAAAAAAAAAAAAATGTGATAGAGATTGCTCTTGACAAAATTGAGATGCAGCGGAGGCTTCAGCAAGCAAGTCTGGCAAAATTGCATCCTCATTTTTATGTTTATAGATAGGGAACTCTGAATTTTCAGTGGTAGTATCAATGCAACCCATAACACTCTGTCACACTGCCACTCATGTCACATTTTAAAAGAATACATTGGAAGCACTGCTTCAAGTTCACTTGTGCAGCACTGTATAGAGCATGACTTTCTCTGTCCATGGTTGGTAACAGGGGAAGAGGAAAACAGCAATCGCATTGACTGCTGTATAATTTGAGTGGACTGGAAAGCCCTCGCTGCATCAGTAAGCTGCAGTTTCCAGGAAATTGTATAGGAATTGTCTGACTGCATATAATGTTGTTACTGTATTGTTGCAGTAATAAGAGTAACTGATGTGGTGATGTCTTCATGGGAAGGCAATTCCACATCATTTTAAAAGATTTTCTGCAAGATTGCTTTGTTACTGTTGCATATTTAGCTAATGGCTAACTTTAAACAGCAGAATATGTACATGTATGCAAAAGTAAAAGCTGTATGTATTATATATTTAGTTGACTAGCTACATCACTAAGCAGAAACTGACTTTACTTAAAAAATAGTTTGGAATTATTTCCTTATATTTTCATAGGAAATAAGGATTCTAGCTTCTACACATTCTCTAGAGCTTGAAATACAAGCATATCAATTGCATCTTAATTACTATGGCATTATAGTTTGACTGTCTTGAGTCAGTTAACTTGGAGTGCTGTGTCTCATAAAAAAAAAATGTTTGAATGCTGCATGAATGGTATTATCAAGTAATACTACTTAAACAGTCTTGGTATTAGGATCCAAGTGAAGAAGAAAAGATAGAAAGAATTCAATACTTAAACTAAACGTGAAGTGTGGCAGATACAATTTTGAACCCTGGCAATAGAAATGCATTTGGAGCCTAGTTTCTTGTTTGCATACCGTACTGCTCTCTTCTTTTACCAGAAGTCTTTGTTTTCAATCTAGGTTAAACAGCAATAACAAAAAGTGCTAGAATGAGTTAAGCTCTGTGTGAAGCTAAAAATTGTTGCAGTGTCTTATAGGACAGTGAGCACTATCACACTTCCTACTTACTCTCTCAGATGGAGGCACATGTGTGGGCTTAGACATGTGCACATGAACTAGAAACAGGTTTTTAAGATAGTTAGCAGCTAGGGTAAGTGCTACAGTATTAGGTGGAAATATGTTTATCTCCCTTGTCTCGCTGTAAACTTAAAGCCAGCCTGAAACCAGCCTCAGTCTTTATTGAAATGTACATTATTTAGGAAGATTTTCAAATGATATCTGTATCCGTGCAAAATAGAAGACATTTTAGAATGTCATAGCTTTTATATTAAATAGGATAATGGCTTTCATGACTGGAGCGTGATAAATATGACAGCATTTAACAACAGTAAACTGAATCACTGAAATCTTAATTGTCCTTTAATTGACTTGATAAATCATAGAGATCTTTTAATGATTGTTTTTTCCTCACTTTAAATTGAACTTTGGAAAAACTATGAATATTAAATTTGGTTTCATTTTATGACCTCTGCTTCAATGCCACTTGTATTCCCTGAAATAACATTTGTAAGCATTTATTGTCCTTCATTGTTATTTCACAGGAAATAACTTACCATATGCAGTTATGTAGTTAAGTGAGGAAAATTGTAGAAGTTCACTCATTATAGATAAGCCTTATTAAGATTAGACTTACATAGTACCTCATTTTTTAGTATATCACATATTTTTTTTTTTTTTGTATGTCACAGGACTACACGAAAGAAGTTTTGTACCTATGCTTGTCAGAGTATTAAAGTCAAAAGACATTCACATTACTGGCACATTGGGTACAGTTTTAAAGCAAAAAAAAAAAAAACAACAAAACAAAACAAAAAAACAAAAAAACAAAACATTAGCTTATTCTGAAGCCTTAACTTCTGAAGTATGATTGCATTTTTTTTCTATTGTTGATTTTATATGCAATGTATATTAAAGTACTTTGTTTAAAAATAATTTTCTAAAATGACTTTTATGGCATAAATCTTAAAGTCAAAATGTTCTGCTGGCAAAACAAACTCAGTGCTGTTGATATTTTTACCTGACATTCTTGAATCTGTCATCTCTTTACTATTTCAAAAAATGTTTCCAATTATTTTCTGTTTTTTTTTAAACAATAGCGAATCAGAGAAGGGAGCCTTATGGACCAAACCAAAATGATCTGCGTTGGCGATCACATAGAGTCTATAAATGGAAAAGATGTGTCAGATCTTCGGCATTATGAAGTTGCCAAAATGCTAAAAGATCTGGAGAAAGGTCGGGTGTTTAAGCTGAAGCTGATAGAGCCTATGAAGTCATTTGGTGAGTGTTGCTTGGCTGTTTGCCTTGTTCCCTGGATACTGAACTCCCAACATTGTACTCCACTATAAATTTGTTTTCAGGCAAGGTAATGTAACTGCTGCAAAAAGAGAGGAACGTTCTATGTATAGAACAGATACATACATATATGTGTTATGTGTGTGTGTATGTATATATAATATATACTTTTCTTAGAGAGGGAATTTTAGGAAGGAATCTTCTTCCATCTGCTTTCTCCAGCAGTTATCCTAGTTTGGGCTGACTCAGCACTGAGTCTCAGTTGCTTGATTTCTTTGCTACCCCATGGCAGTGCAGAATAAGTACAAGTTTGATAGGCACAGTTTTAAAGCATGGATCATTTCACTGATTCTCAAACTTCCCTTTCTGTTTTCCTCTACATCTCTTACATATGAACCCTGTTTGTCTCTGTATCAGATTTTTATATTTGTGAGCTTTAGGCAGGACTGAGCTATCTAATGCAGAAGAATGAAGCAGAGAAGAGTCTGGGATTCCCCAGAGCACCTCCTTGGCTGCTATCCCCAACGTTTTGTTCACTCTTTTATTGTACAGCAGGTATACTTGCAACTGAAGGAAATGAGTTAGACAAAGCTCTGCCTCTACCTGATGCCTGACTGCTGTGTGAAAGTGACACAAGTGATAGGACAAACGTATACCTCCTGCTAATCCATATGCACATTAATTTTTATCAAGGTAGTAAAAATAAATAAAAATATGTTGTGTTAGCCTAGGGAGATAAAAGAGGTTGAGTTTTGATTTTTATTCTCTCAGGTTTTGGTTTGTTTCTCCCTCTGATCCATGCATTATTTTTCTTTAACAAGAAAGTACAAAATTCTTCTGCATCTTAAGCATGTATGACTTCATGTGCACTCACAATCTCTTCACCACAGTGGAAAATGTTAGGTTTTTTTCCTTTTTTTAAAATCTGTTAGCAGTTTACAACTGCTGTCATACACCAATCTTGACACTTGGTGTCAGAATAACAGCAGAAATTGAAACAAATTTGAAGATAGCTTTTGGTCCTTCTGCACAGAAAGTGATATGTCTCTAATATCACTGGATATAAGCTAATACTCCTGTTGTAATGTACTTCAGTGTAATGTACATACATAAAGTGTTGCAATCAGTAGTATAATAATATCTTTTTAATATGGGCATTCAGGGCTAAGCCTATAGTCTGTTTGTAAAGACTGGGGTAAATCAGCATTTGATGACTTGAACTATTATTTAATAGCAATTATTTTCCAAAGATGATTAATGTACCTCTTCATCTGCTGATGATGGAGAGAAAGGAACTCGCTAATTCCATGGCAATACCTTTTATCTGACATTAAATTGACATTGAAGTAGAGCTTATTGGACAGATTTTTGAAAGCTGTATGTATTTTTTATTCTACAGAAATGGGCTTAAAACTCCCGGTGTCCAATATGAGACAGGTTAAGAATACCCTGGCTGTTGCCTAGGCAGGATGCATACAGCATAAGTTCTTCTAAAAGTAAGAATAGTGTGGAGAATAAAATTGTACAGTGAAAACAATTCTACAAAATTCTTTCTAGTACTTTCTAAATTTACTACTTAACTCCTGAGTTAGTAAATAAATTAAATCCTCGTCAATCCTGTATGTGAAACTATGCCTCATCTCAGCCTTTATGATCTAGGACATGTCTTATATGATTTCATATTCAATTTACTAATTTAATAAACAAGGAAAACTGAATTCAGGTAAAGAAAACTTAAGATAAAACCAGATGTTCTCTTCAGGGATTTATCAGGTGTGAAATCCAGACCTTACTGAAACCTGTGAGAGAAACTCCCACAGGACTACTTATGGACAGTTTCATCTGAGTGACCGATAGTAATCCAATGGTTTAACATGAAACAGTTGGACCTATTCACCACTGTGTGGCTCAGTATCATGCGTTTTGAAATGATGTTTTCATCATAGCCTCGGTGAAAGATGAAAATGTTGCAAAGCTACAGCTGCCGTACAGTCTGCCTATGGAGGGCAGGGTGAAGTCAGCATTTGGGTGATGACTTCAGACATCATCTGATGAATACTTGTGGTTTTTGTAGAATATGAAAGTAAAATTATATGAGACGCACATGTAATAATGAACGCAATAGGCTCCAACAGATATATTTGTCAATAGATATCCCAGCTTCAGTGTAGTCAAAGTGGTTATCAAAGTTCGAAGACAAATTGACAGCAAAACTATGTAGCTTATGTAGTTAATTTACATTGGTTGAAGTTTTAGATGCCTATTGGTTTTTTATTAGAATTAAAACTGAAGGTAATGTAACAGCAAAGCAGATGCATTGTGTACATACCATATACTTCGTTTTTTTGTTTGTTTGTTTTCTTTTTTACTTTAGAAAAGGTGGCAGCAAGGTCCAAAGGTGGTACTCTGACAGAGGCTAAAATCTCCAGAGGGAGAGAAACACTTCGACTGAGAAATAAAGGCCCTGCCACTGTGGAGGAAATGGTAAGGTTATTTTGTGGCTTTTCAATAGTTCAACCTTCTAGCACCCAATTTAATCTTCCCACGGTTTTGAAGGTAAAGCAGGGAGGGAAAATTCACGTTACAAAGCTTGTGGGACGTACAATGGAGACTGTTTTCTGTAAGGAGAAATGTTTACACAAAATTGAAGGCTAGGAAAGATAGGATGGGGCTCAAGAATTTGGAACTTTTTCCTAGATGTCTAGATGGATATGTTAAAGTGCATTAGACCAAGGAGCATTGAAAAGAAGAAAAGAGAAAATAAAAGGATTGGATGAAGATGTGGTTTTGTATCTGACACCACAAAGTGTACTGGGCTAGTTTAAGCATGGTTGCTAGGAGAGGCTAATAACTTATGCTGACGTGAATGTGTGTAAAACCAGGAGTAGTGTTTGGAAGAAGAAATTTTTCTTATTTCAGGATCTTCTAAAGCTGATGAGACTTTGATAAAGATCTGTATTGTGAAGAGTTGAAAGGCCTGTGTTTTGTTTGGTCAGTGTAAAAGTTATGTGGTTTTAAGTTTGTAGGATGATTTTAGTTGTGAAAAGAAGGGAATAGGGAGGGATAACATGATTTACTTTTAGGTTTTGTAAGTCTAAGCAGCTACAGTGAGAGTGAAGATAAGCAGTAGGCAATTTCTTGTTTTAAAGTCTGCATAGGATATAGTAATACTTTTGCACTTTCTCTCCCTTTATTTCAATAAAGCTCTCTGAAGTTGAAGAAAAAGCAGTAAAAAAAGTGGATGAACTTCTTGAAACATATATGGGGATAAGAGATATTGAATTAGGTGAGTTTTAACAAACGCTTTACTACATGATTGAGTAATTCCTCATTCTAAATTCATTTATAGTTGTTTCAGTCTGTCTGTGTAGGCAAAACAAAACCTGTCTAGAATGTAAACTGGAAACCTTGCCTATGTTTTTCTGAATATGTCTTTGATAAAAGGGAGAATTTCTCACTACAAGCCTTATGATGTAATTAATCTTCTTTCTGCCTGCTATCTATACACTACTGAATAATTTATTTAGTTATTTGCCATTAACTTTCATTGCCATTCTTTATGGCATATATTTTCTACCAGAGCTTGTATGTGAGGCTGGGGGATTGTTAAGGTCAAGCATGTCTATTTGCTGTTTTTCCTCTCCCTCTCTCTTTCATCCCTTGGCTTAAACACTTTAAAGGAGATCATTAAAGTTAGTCTGAGATCTTTTTCAGTGAAGGAGTAACTGTTTAGCAACCAGACTGATAGAGTAATTGCAGATTTATCAAATTCTTTAAAGGCTGTTTACTGAAGAAACATGGGAAATTTTCCATTATATTTGCTAGCTTTAAAATAATCAATTTATAGTGCAAGAAACTTTTGAAGATCAGTATTATTAGCTCCTTAAAACTACACTAAATTTGCCCCTGCAGCTGTTGTTTCTCTGTTTATCTCACACCACCTAAATATGAACTTCCATTTGTAAGGGAAGAAGCTGTTCATGTTTTGTGATCTAGCTGATTAAGAATTGCCAGTGCGGGAGCAGTGGCTAGGTGCAGTCCTCATACGATATCATTAATGCTGAAACAAAGGCAGAAGTTATTTGTTATTGCAATATCAGAAATCAGACAAGAGTTAGGAAAGGACAAACTAAATGGAATGCAATATTGAAAGAAAGCCTTTATATCCTCCCAGTTCTAAAGAAACTAACAGTTCTCAAAAATTCTATTCCCAGCACCTCTAGTACATGATGCCTCTGGCATGCAATATGTTCTGAGGAGCCCTGGGTGGTGCAGTCTGACCCTCTGTTTAGGTTTACTGTGAACAGTCTCTGGCTCAGGCTTCAAAGCTTCCGAGTCTCGTGCCAGTCACCGCTCTGGAGCTGTTTTTGTCCTGCAGCTGTTGCAAGCCCCAGCTTGATCCAATCTTCTGAAGGCTTCTGTCCTTGTTAGTTACATCCAAGGTCTCCAGGCCTCCTGCCCAATAAAAACAGGTAGCTCTTGTTTTTGTATCTGTAGCCCAGGTTCCTGAGATTGTAGGCTAGAGCTTGTTTTTTTGGATCTTCAGCATATGCTGTGCTCTGCTGTGTAACAAGATTATGAGTTCCTCTGGGAACTACTGTTACCTTTCTTTGACTCTCACTATTATAACTGGGTGGTTCTTGTACAGTTGACTGAAGAGTTCAGTTTGTAGTAAAAGCTTGGCTCTGCTGATTGTCAAGCACTTGATAGAGTTGTATGAATTCCCTGATATTTTTATATACGTATTTTAACAGATCTGATGTCCTTACATCTTTCAGTATGTACCTTGGATAGTCCTAAGGAATGCCTTTAAAAAAATGCTCAAAGAATGGACAGGTCTTTGTCCTCAAAGCTACTGTGTGCTTCTCAACTGGGTTGCTGGTTTGCCTTTTGCGCTTTCTTCTCTTCCTCTCATGAGGTCTGTTAAACAAAGAAATTGTCATGAAGCAAAGATAAGAGGTTTACCTAGCTCTGGTTTGCATCCTTGAAGCTGTTTCTTGGAGTTTGAATCTTAGTCAAGGGCCAATGACGATGGGAAAAAAAAAAAAAAAAAAAAAAAAGTTTTTATCACTTTTAAATAATTAAACAACTCTAGATCTCTTTAGGAAAGGAGAGCTAATCACTTGTCACAAATCTGTTCAATTAACATATGTCAGGTTTTTTTATATACTAGATGTGATCAGTCACCCATGAAGATGAAATATGAGGAAAGGATTCATTCAGAGAATGCCAATCACTGCTCAGCTAGAAATTTCACTCATTACTCAAGCCAGATTAGTTGAAAATGCAAGTCATCACAATGCGACAGCCGACAAGTGATTAAGATCTCAATCATTGCTCACTCCCATGCAGTTCTGTTTGTCAGAAGCTCTGGTTGTCAGTTAATATTGTTTTTTCATCTCCATTAAAATGACATTTTCATAGTGAGATTGAATTCTGAAACAGTGCCCTAATTTTGAGCCAGAAGTTATAAAGAAGAGAGAGGAAAAATAATGTAAAATTGTAGGCAGAATTAAAGAAGAGATAAAGGCCTTAATTTTTGCGTTGCTAAGTATCTTAGGAGTTTCAAGAATGGCTGACTAAATATATACATGAGCCCCTGAGTAGGGGGAAAAGCTTTTAAACTGTTTAATTGAACACCGTGTGTATATATATATACATATATATATATATGTGTGTGTGTGCGTGTGTGTATATATATATAAAAGTGTTTAT